GTCGATATGAGCTTCCACTATGTTATTAGTCCGTCTAGGCAATACTATGTCGTTGACGAGCCGTACCTCGTAAGGTGATATGTCCGCAAGCGTGATGTAATTGATGGGCACGAGGTCTATATCTTCTGGTCCTATTCGTATGGTTCTGTGATGGAGGTCAAGGGAAACCAATAAACCGTTTTCGTTCAAAGTACGGATGAAGTCCGATCCTAGTAAAAGTGGGACTGGACAATCCTTGTCTGCCGCTACATAGAAGCAATGAGAAATAACATGTGTTCCTATCTGAACTGGCAGACAAACGGTACCTGACAACTGTATTGTTGTGCCATTTGCAGTTGTCGCTGTTCTTAGTGCTCCCGTGGGCGATTTCGTACCTCCAATCAATGATAGCGTTGATGCCCTCATGTACGATATAGTTGCTCCACTGTCCAATAACGCTGTGACCGAGTTAATGCCAATTTTGACCTTCAAGTATGGCAAATGTTGTGCTTCCGTTTGTATGGCATAGATATGTGGTACGAAGAGAGGTTCTTCTTCCCTTGGTGGCAAATCCACCATTACTAAATTGACTTTATGTTTCTGCTTCCTAGTCTTCCGTTTCGGGGTGAAGTTCTTGGCAATGTCGAACATGGCTGACGCGGCGGTCGAGGTTGCGCGTCTAAGGAAATAGAGCTTTACGTAAATAACGCAAGCTCCAACACAAAGTAGAATAATAGTGGCGGGTATTGCAATCCAGAGTATAGTGTAAATAACTGACCACTTGATGTCTTCTACGCCATCCGAAAGCTTCTGTGTTGTTGACTCATAAAGGGATAATAAAGACTGACCCAGGGACATGCTGGTATTTCGTATCCGTGAGAATGTTAAGGCGTGGTTGTCAAACAGGCGGTGGAATGTAGGTGGAGTGTCGAAAAGAAAAGGCTTCACTCTATCGTTAATAACGGCATTGGGCAGTATAAGCTTCTGTGTCGAATTGGAATCCTTTGGTGATAAGTAAGGGCAGGGAACGGTGGCAGATGTTTGTATCAAGTCCTGTGTTCCCGGTATTTCAAACCAAAGATCCTCGTCAATCCTGACGGGTGTCAATATATAGCATATTCCACTAACCGTATGATTATTATAGACGAAGGTTGGTGTAACCTGGCGACATTTCGTAATTAATAAGTTGTCCGCAGTCCGTACGGCCGTGATGTCAGTTCTTCCCAACAGGATCCTGGCGGCCCATGTGGGGTCTACCAAGCTTAGGGTACGTATCCGTTGTGCTCCGAGGTATTGTCGGACACAGATATTATTAAACTGACGTCGCACCGCAAAATTTTGAGGGGAAATATTTTCCGTATCAGGTGGTTGTGTAGGTACAGAAAATATTGAAGATATTGTAGAGAAGTTTGCAGCTTCTACTGTTGTTGAAGCATTTTCCTCTTCCTCAGCCGTCGTTGGTATGATCGTCGTTGAGGCAGGTATAATTGACGTCAATACCGAATCCACTACTGATACCGTTGATAGTATAGAATCCACTACTGGTACCGTCCAATCCATAGAAACAAATCTCGTTGTTCGCGTCAAAATTTCCTCCCATGATGGGGTAGAGGCTGATGTTTCGGCCGCTATTACGGGTTGTAGGGTGGGTAGTGGGGTATGGTAATACAAATGGTAGACTTCTGGCGTCGTGGATGGGGAAATGGAAGAGGTAGTACTCGTTGGTACCATCGATGTTCTCTCCGGAGTACTTGATGGTTGGGTATGGTGTTTCATCAAAAGTGTTGTCTCCGTCGATTGACGTGATGATACTGCTTTACTAGTTTTGGTTGTGGTGGTAGAAAAGAAGGTCCCTTTTGTAGAGGGTGTTTTGATTGGACTGGTAGACGTAGATGGTAAAGTTGTCGTCGTCGTCATAGTATTTCGAACAGGTGATATCCTTGTTGTCGGTTTGGATGTCCTCATAGGAGTTCCGGACGTCATCGTTGTTCGTATTGTTGTCGTCATAGAGGTTGTTGTTCTTCGTGAAGTCGTCGTTGTCCCTAGAGTTGTTATTTGTGGGGCTGATGTTGTTTGTACTGCTGATGAAGTTCGTGACGTTGTGGTCAGGGGAACTGTTGGGAGTGATGATGTTGTTGTGGTCGGACTGCCTAGCGTGATTGGTGGAGTTATCGGGGCCGGAGAAGTTGTTGCCAGTGCTGTAAGGTGACGTTGAAATAGGGGATTTTAGACTTCCATTCTGAGTCTAACGGTCCTGGCATGTTGTATTCGATTCTTCCAAACTCCTTCTCAAGATAATCGTCGAATATCGGAGAAATACCCAGTTCTAGGTCTCGTCGGATGTTGGTCACGGCATAATTTGGAGGTGTTTTCTTCGCAGATTCCGCAAATAAATTTAATTGCTTCATGCGATATTCGCCGTACCGTATCGTACGTAGGACTATGTGCCTTGGATCATCCATTTTGTAGTACCGGGTCGCCCGAGTAAGATCGTTATTAGTGATATTCCATTGTTTTAGCTCGTAGAGGATCTTGTTCCATGTTATCGGGCGCGTGTTAAAAACTGGAATTCTTCTGAGATGTCTAACACCGAACAATCGCTTAGTCAGAAATACAGGTTCCATCGGCACAATTTCAAACGGGAAGGTGTTACCGTTTTTATCCGTAAGATGTCGTATAGCAGGGTGTAGGACGATTCGCACGACCGTAATGCTTTCCACACAGGATCATCGCCGCGCGCGACACACCCTGCGGCTGCTTTTGCCTAAGCAAAACAGGGGGAGGAAAGGTTTGCGGCGTGCATTACATGTTAGGACAAGTCAAAATCAGGGAGACGCTGGAGACCGCCCGTGCGAAAAGACCGTCTCCCCGTATAGCACGCTTTGTTCTTCTTCCTTGATGGGCCATGCGCAATACATAATCTTGGATGGTAAGGTCTTGTGGAACTTGGGGAAAAGTGATGATATGGTTCGATGTTGTAAGGTAACTGGTGCCCAACTGACAATATCTGGTGAGTTGTTCGTGCAGAAGGTAATCCTCAGAAAATTGGAAGACGAGGTCGGGGTGGGGAAGGACTATGTAGTTTAGGGTGACGAATGCTTCGAAAGTTCCAACATGTTTGAATCTGCAGGAAGGTGTGACTTCAGTTGGCTTCCATATGATCGTGTATTCCTGTGTAAGACAGTATCCTTGGCTGTACGAGCAGTTCTCGATGTCACCCAATGGACTCATGATGTGCTGTCCGTCGAAAGTGGCGACTTGTCCTTCCTCTACAGTGTATACACTGCGAAGATAGTTCCTGGTCCCCCATAGTGGTATCGCAATGTCATCTTCCTCTATTTCATTGGTGGTCCATAATCCATCCGACTGCAGAATCAATTCATGATCATGTATTTTCCTTGATGTCCTGGCCGTTGCGCACAGTTCTTGAGGGATCGACAACTGGCGACGTCGCAATATGGTGGTGGTAGTACGAATACGGAGAAAACTGCTTATAGATACCTCAATGGCATCTCTGTAGCACTTAGTTGCATTATTCCAGAATGGATTGGAAGTATCTGCAAACAGTTGCATCGTAGTTCGTAACATAGGCGCGTTTGTCGGGGTTGTACAATCGAATGATTCTGGAAGTGAAAAGATGTTCGAATATGGGTTTGTGCCACATATCTGGTATTTCGCAATTGTGAATCCACTGCACAGTATCAGAGTCATGATACACAGTAAGTGAATCCCTGGGGAGTTGATCCTACCTCTCGCGAAGGTGCTGGGAGGTGCGGGAGCTGGAGCATCACTTATCGGAAGGGGTCTATATTGTGCATATGATGGTGCTCCATAGCCATAAGGTTTTCTTCCTTGTACTGGTGGAAATCTATTGTTGTACATTCTGTGATTGTAGAATGGGAGTGTGCGTTGACGGAAAGGTGGGTATCGGGGATAGTATCCTCGCGGGCCGAAGAAGGGAGGATTCTGGATAGGTCGCAGTGTCCTCTGTATCTGCCTGAACTTATTTCTATCCTGATCACTGGTGGGTTTCTGTCGTGGTGTTGCTTTCATCTGACTCAACTGCTGCTCAAGCCGATTGATTTTCTCGTCCATAAGAAGAGCATTGATGGCTTGGAGGGCGTCTCCGTCTTCTTTCCTTTCCTGTTCCAAGATGCGAGATTCCTTTTCTGCACTGCATACTATCTCATCGAATTCATCCGTGTCAGGTAGTCTTCTAACCGCTTTCTTAATCTCGGGATTGAGGCCCTTGATAAAGAAATCAATGGCCATCTGCTGGATGAGTGGTTGTCCTTGTCCCTGAAAAGCGATCTTCGTTTTGTTGTAAATTTTCTTGGCGAATTCTCCCACGGTGTCCTTTCCTTGCGTCATATTATGTAACTCATCTCGGATGTTGCTGAGAAGAGAGGTGTTCTTCATTCGCTTGGCTAGCTCCGTTACCAAATCCTTCCAGGGTATCTTCTCTCGATTCGGGATCTGTTGGTACTTCAGTTTCGCTCCACCTGTCAGGTAGACTGGTAGTAATTTCTGCGAAATCAGGTTCGGGATAGCAAGCTCATGCGTCACTTCCGAGTATTCACTCAGGAATTCCTCAAGAGTTTTTTCCCCAGAGCCTGAGAACTTGTCCAATCGGTTTCCCAGTATCTTACAGGCCTTGTATAACTGTTCTTGAAGCTTCTTGTCCGAGATAGAAGGTGTTGCGCTTCTTTCTTGTGACGTAGTTGGTTTACTTTCTTCTTCCTCCTCTGACATGCTTGATCTTCTTTCCTTTGACATAGTCGGCTTCCTTCGATTTGCTTCGAAAATTGCTTCTCTTCGTTGCTCCCTGCGTTGGTGTCGCAATAATCGCGCTGTGGTTGATGACGACGTGTTGGACGCTATTGGTTCTGCAAACAAAGGTTAACGGGAAAACAAGATGAAAAATAAAATACTAAAATGAGGTTATTTTATTCTAATCCAAAAAGAGCTTCAAATGTACTGACAAAAGAGATGTGGTTGTAATTTCATTTTCTACTTTACAGATGACGCCCATTGAGAGAGCTGAAGAGGAGGTGCCCAAAGCACGGAATGATCAAAATGCTAGAGAGGAGGTGCTGGAGGCACCGAATGATCGAAATAATGAAGAAGAAGTACTTGAAGCACCAAACGGTCAAAGTGATGGCGAAAGAGTGTTCGGAGCAGATGTTCAAAGCGTTCGTCAGCAATGCTCATGCTTCTGAAATTTCAAATTTAGTTGTTAACGCTATATAGTTCGAAGCCGGAACCTCCATGTAAGGCTCGGCATAGTTCCGCAGAGCAGCTAATGCTAAGACTGATGAAAGTATCGTATGTGAGATATTCAATGTTCGCCGGCCTTAACAAAACCAATTCCCAACAACTATTTATTAGCAAGGAGATGACCATGCAATAGGACGAAACGGGTGACCTTTCAGATTAAGGCAGCTAAACTACAAAAGATCATAGTGAGCCGTCGGCCAGCGGCGGTGAATCATGACGGCCGATATGAGTAAATAAAGGTGCGGTCGCTACTTGCAAAGTTACAAGACAAGAGTAAGAGAGTTCGAAAAGGAAGTTGAGGAATTACATCGAATAAGAATGAGAAAAGGTACGAATGCACACCAAAGGCTTCCTACGGTCTCTTATATATATGTTTCACTAATGGATACGAACATACATAGTCGCATAAAACATATAATAAAAATGAGGTTCAGGTTAACATTGCCTAATGGAAAATACACAAACTTCCTAACGGGTCCATTATCCTTCGATAGTTTCCATAAACTTCTTTCTCTTGTTTTGCTAGTTCGTTTTCGTCATGTTCGATCGCTTCGCTGTTGCAATGTTTGCTTACTCACTCGTTGTGTAAACATAAAGTCCGCTGTTCGCACATGCGCGGAACGTTCGCCAGGCACGTTACACATCTCCCTGTGGCACTGTTTCGGGAGAAAGTCAAGAGGCGCGATTTCTCTGGCTGTCACCAACTCAGAACCTCACATTAGTGCTAGCGAGTCTCCAAAGAGTACCAGATGAAGTGCGTTGGCTTACTTTCTGAGGTTACCACTTGCTGAGGTTGTTCGCTTCTGCTGGAAAACGGACCTATATATTACGAAATTGTTCTCAACTGTATTTTCATGGGTTTTCGATCTTCAATATTGCTGTTTTGAGTTGATTTCAAAGCAGCAAAATCAAGTAACTTATGTAGCTATCCAATATGTCTCCTTCAAAAATCAAAATGCTTTTTTAATGTTATAAAGCAATTATGTGTTATTTGGTGTCCATGTGGCAATAGAAATCTCACCTCTTGACATACACCTCCCTGTTTCGATGGAAAGTTGGCAAGTGATGAATTTGGAAAAATTTGATGAGAAAGAAAGCAAAATTTGAATAAAATAGGTCAAGTGGCTAAATTTGGAATTTTCCGTTTTTTGAATTCTTAAAATTTTTGGAATTTTTTTCGTAATTCAAACACCAACGCTATTTTTCTATTTGAGGAACATTTTCACTGAGGTCAAGCTTCATCGTAAACTCAACAAATTGAGACTATTGAGCAATATTCTCCTAATTGATCGATATCTGGATGACATCATCGATAACTTTCTCCCTTGGTCACGGCGTGTCACTTGGGTGCAGATGTT